AAATACCCAATAGATTTTTTCTAAATTATTGGAATAAAACACAAAAAAAAGTGGGTAAGTGGATGTCGCTCTGCTGTACAGTAGGTTACAAAAGGGTCACTGTAATGGATGGAGTTACATTTGAATTCACTGATATATTATCATTGTATAAGAAAAACGTTCTGAGTGAAGACGGTCAGTCAGTCTATGATATTACTAAGAAGTATATTTGATAATATTATTGTGAATAAAGTTTTTATATATTTAACTATTTACGTGGAACCATGTTTTAAATTTTCAATTCGTAGCTATAAAAGTTGAACATTTTATACATTTTTAACTACAAAATAGTTATTACATTTTACATTTGATTCATTTTATCAAAATTTGAAGTTTAAATGCTTATAAAAAGAAATTGTGCTAATGTATTTTTAATATTTTTCAATTGCTATCGTAACAATATATCAGGAGCCTTGCATTAAATTTTCACGCTCTTTTACCCAACAAATAAAATTTTATTGATAATAAATTATAGAAAATAAAACAAAAAAAATGTAAAACCGACAATGTCCGTAAACAGCTCAAAAAGAGTCAAAATATTTTCATAATTGTATATTGTTTAGAAAATGAAAAAAATTCATTAGTGCAGTAAAATTGTCAAGTATCTATAGTTATTCGTTTTTGAAGAGTAATTTAACAAAACCGCTAAATGAGAAATCGAGTGAATATCCAATATTGCAAAAATATGAACTTGAAACCCTCATAAAAATTTAATTTGATTTGCTTGTAGACATTTTAGATTCCGAGTGAAACGATGAATGTATTGATTTTACAATGATGTGTTTTTTTTTTTTTTAATTTTTAATTTTTTTTTGTGTCTGTCACCACGTTTTATGACAGTAAAAGATTTTCTTCAACAGTAGCTTTTCTGATAGGAAAGTGAATCTAGTTGGTACTTTGGGGGGTCAAAAGTAAAAATTACCCTGTAGTTTTCACAAACGCCGGGAAAAACAACATAAAAATTAAGGAAAAACGGGAATTTTTACGCAAAATCGTAAAAAGTTTTCCAAAAAATCGATTTTGGTTTTTGGTGTAACTCTAAAACAAATGAACGTATATACATGAAATTTTCACTGGTTGTTTATATTTGCATTTTCCATACACGATAACATTTTCAAAATATTTTGATTTATTTTGAACTGTTTAGGGACATTTTCATTTTCCATTTTTAAAAATATCAATTAAATTTTATTTGTTGGTTAAAAATCTTGAAAATTTAATACAAGGCTCCTTATATATTGTTACAATAGCAGTTGAAAAATATTAATAATATATAGGCACAGTTTTTTTTTAGAAGCATTTAAAGATCGAATTTTGACAAAATTTATCAAAATCACGAAAATTATCAATCATTGTAATTAATAAATTATAAGATGTTCAGTTTTTATAGCTAAGGATTGCAAATTCAAAACAAAGGTTCTCATAAATAGTTCATACTGTAACCAAAAAAGCTAAAAAATATATGAACACAGTTATTTTTTACAGACATTTTAAATTCAAATTTGGATGAAATTACATAAAAAAAACCTAGAATAACTATTTTAGTTATTTTGTTGTGATTGAATAATATTATTCGTGGGTACTTGAAACTTCTAAAGTGAACTATTATGTATCTATGATAGTATCACGGTTTTTGTTGATGTATAACGCGTTAAAAGTACCTAATGGATATTGTGATATGATTAATTTGGAATTTATTATAGGTACCTACCTATTATAGGTCAATTTTTTATTTAATACCATAGATATGTATATAATATGTCTTATACATGTACTGACATACCGTCTCCACTCAGAATCGTTTTTCTTATACAATGATATTATATCGTTGAATTCAAATTTAAAATCATCCATTATACAGTGACCCACTTGTAACCTACTGTACAGCAGAGTGACACCCACTTGCCCACCTTTTTTTTGATAAAGGTAGACAAACTTATGAATATTCTTTTTTTACGTTTTAAAATCTTAGATTTTATCTGAGAATTTTATTGTGTGGAAAATGAAAATTTCATGTAAATATGTTCATTTGTTTTAGAGTTACACCTGAAACCAACATCGATTTTGTGTAAAAATTCCCGTTTTTCTTTAAATTTTATGTTGTTATTCCAGGCACTTTTGAAAACTGTTGGGAATTTGACCTCTGCAATGCACCAACAACATATTCACTTTCCTATCGAACAAGATACTGAAGTTGAAAATCAATGCATTATTTCGAATACTTATCGTGTACATAGACACAAAAAAAAAAAATTCACAGCATTGTAAAATCAATACATTCATCGTTCCCCTCAGAAACTAAAATTTGAGAAAAGTGGGAATTTTTTCACAAAAGCACTTTTTGACAAATACTATTTTTTAAATTTTTTAGAGTGGTTTCTTTCTTTCTTCCTTATTGAATCTATTGCTTACTATTTGAATAGAAATGTATGTATAAGAAAAATTGATCAGATCACATTATGATTAAAGCGGAAATCACTTTACTTGTGAAGTAAATTTAAAAATATAATAATACTTACCGACACAATCATCATCTTGAACCAAAATAATTTATGGTTAGTAAAAAATGTTATAAATAATGTTACGAGGGCGGGCTGATAAGTAATGCCTCTTATCTTATAGTTATTTTTAGATGTACGATAAAATTGTCATTGGTTGTCAATATAATAGTTTATGTCGTTGGTTTAGTGTGTGCGAAGACGCGATAGTGTAATGTTAATATTTTATTATTTATGGAATCTATAATGACGGCCCCTTCAGATGTGCGGTTCAAACAGCGTGCTGTTATTGAATTTCTCGTTGCAGAAAATGTGAAGCCAGTCGATATTCATAGACGCCTGCTTGCGGTTTATGGAAATCAAACTCTCGATGTAAGTTCTGTTCGTCGTTGGGCATTACGGGTTAAAGGTTCTGAAGTCGGAAAAGCAATTATTGCCGATCAGGATCGAAGTGGACGGCCGGTGACGGTTACTGACGAGGCCCATAAACAAAAAGTCGATGATTTGGTCAAGGGAAATCGGAGGATTAAACAATCAGAAATAGCAATAGCGTTGGGAATATCTAAAGAACGTGTCCAACACATTCTCTGCGAACTTGAATATCGAAAAATATGCGCAAGGTGGGTGCCCAAAATGCTGACGGAAGAAATGAAACAAAATCGCGTAGAAATTTGCCGCCAACTTCTTTTGCGTTTTGACAGTGAAAGAGAAAATTTTTTAAATATTATTGTTACCGGAGATGAATCTTGGGTACATCATTATGACCCTGAAAATAAAAGACAGTCAATGGAATTTCGTCATAAGACTTCACCAGCCCCAAAGAAGTTTAAAGTTCAAGCGTCGGCTGGGAAAGTCATGTTGACTGTGTTTTGGGATTCAAAAGGTGTGATCCACACTGAATACTTAGAGAAAGGATCAACAATAAATTCTATACGATACATAGAGACACTCAAAAGGCTGAAAAAAAGGATTAAGCGTGTCAGACCAAATTTAACCCAACTTTTGCTTCATCACGACAACGCGAGACCTCATTGCAGCCGTGCCACAATGACAGCAATTGAATCACTGGGATTTCAAGTCATTCCACACCCACCCTACAGCCCGGATTTGGCACCATGTGATTTTTTTCTGTTTCCTAAGCTTAAAGAACATCTCAAGGGTACAAAATTCAATTCTGACGAGAAAGTTAAAGCTGAAGTTAAACGATGGTTCAATGCTCAACCCAAAGAATTTTATTTGAATGGCATTTCTAAATTAGTAAATCGTTGGCAAAAATGTATCGCCTTAGAAGGTAGTTATGTTGAAAAATAATAGTATGTAAATAAAAATCATTTAAATTACTATACGTGTGTTTTTCATTAATTATTCTATGTATAATATTTTTAAAACTACGCGTCAAGAGGCATTACTTATCAGCCCGCCCTCGTATAATATTATAATGTTATGCAGTGTCGGACTGGCTCGAAAAGGTCCAGTTCGCGATTTGGAAAAAAGGGCAACCAACAGGCAAATGGAAAATGTTTTAATTAGCCCAGAAAAAAATGCTCGCTTTGCTCGCAATTTTATTTTCATGTGCTTACACGGAACATTTTTTTTTTAATACAATTTTTTGCAATCTCGCATATTTATCATACGGCCAAATAGGCGCAAATAAATATTAAAAAAAAATGTTTATTTCGTATTTCTATTTACTTTAAACGAATAATAATAATAGTAATAGGGACAAAATCAGGGCCCCCAATTACCATGAAATATAAGCCGGGGCCCCGTCCACAATTTCGGACTAGTGGTCAGGGCCATTCCTACTCATTGTTATGTAATATAGTTTCTTATTATGTTTAGGAATATGTTTGGTATTAAATCAGTACCGGGACTGGAGCCTGTAATTGAAACTTAAGGAGCTAAGGGATTCAAATACCAATATTAGATCAACCAAACAAGAATGGAGTGAAGAGAAAAGAACGTTGGGTGGATTATGTGGTTTAAAGTTTACATTGAAATATTCATAATTTTCATAAACGCTAGAAAAATAATTAGTAAAAGCATTAACTATATCATTAGAAGTATCAGTTAGACGATATAAAT